GGCCACACACACACAAATACATAAATAAATAAATAAAATTAAAAAAAAAATAAAATAAAAAAAATAAATAAAAAAATATTTCCTCACTAAAAAAAAAGATTGGGCCGGGTGTGGTGGCACATGCCTCTAATCTCAGCACTCGGGAGGCTGAGGCAGGGGGGTCACTGAATTTGAGGTCAGCCTGGGCTACACAGTGAGCTCAAGGGTACCTGTACTACATGGCAAGATCCCATCTCAAAAATAAAAAATATTGGGGTTATTTACAAAAGAAGTGCATATGTGAATAAATTATTACTTTGGTTTCTAGGAACAAAAGGGAACAACCAAGTCAGTAGGTGGCAGAGAGTGGCATTCTGTTGGCTCTTTTTTGTGGAATGCTGTTAATACATTTTTTCTTTCAGAGGCAAAGCCCTTGATCTTCTGAGACAGATCTGGTTCCCTGCTGGCCGCTGAAGGAGCTCACTCACCTGCTGAGCCACCTCAGGCTTAGGTCCCAGTTCCAGCAGGCGCCGAGCAAAGGTGGCCGCTGTCTTGAAGTTCTTGAGCTTGAAGAAGAGGTTAAGGGCTGTCCTCAGTACTAGGATCATATGCACAGGCTGGAGGTTGGAGTGCGTGAAGTAGGCTGCCATCTGGTGGACAGAAAGAGGGACAAATGCCGGGCTGGGAGATGTCAGTTATCAACTGTTGCACTCGCTTTAAAACAAAGCAGGATGAACCAACAAGACCTGCAATGTAAAACACAGAGGTCCTCCGCGTCCTAGTCCTGGAGGGCTCATGAGATGAGGAAGAATGGGCACATGTAACCTCTCCTTATGGAAATGAACAGAATGTCTCCTCCCCTAGAGCCAGATCTGGGTATAGATCCGAAGAATTTAGATCTTATGGTGGGCTCAGAGGGCGATGTCCCTGCAACGCTCAGAGTAGATACCCCTCGCACAGCTCTTACCTCGCAGATGCGCTTCTGCTGGTCTACAGTCTCTTTGGGCAGCTTCTTCCTTTCGATCTCCATGGACAAACCCACAATATACTCCCGGCAAATGGTGATGAGCTGCTGGGCCTGAAGAGGTTACCAAGGAAGGTCACGGTACAGAGACAAGAATTCGGGGCCATGCAGGGAGAACTAGGGTTGGGACAAATAGCTCCTCCTACCTCAGCAATCTCCTGCTTATTGTCCACAACGAGAAGTGGCACACTGAGTAAGATGGAACGGAATTTTTCCACAGCCTCCTCAAACTTGCCAACTGTGGTGAGCTGGTAGCACAGCTGTAAGCGCTGGATGAGGTCATTAAGCTTGAGGCCTACAGCTGGTACACCATTTTTTAGCCCTGCATCCTTCCTGGAAAGGGTAAAGTAGGAAAAAACAGGATCATTAGTAGCTAACTAAGGCTCAATTTCTTCTAGCAAACGTGGCCACAGCAACTCTACTGTGACAGTAGTTGGAGAACAGGACAGCAGCAGGTATAACCAAGCCCCACACAGTAACAAAGCAAAGTTTTTCTTCGAGGAAGCCCTGTCTCTGGAAAAATTCTGTGTCACTGAAGCTGATGTCTGAAAGAGCCCATCTTAATGTGCAACAGGGAGAAACAAGAAACAGGGACCTTACCAATTACGGCTTGGATAGGCATACATGGAAGGCAGGCAGGGCAGGGCCTGATAGGTAGTACGGCCTCGAGCAAAGGTCTGTAGGAACAGTTGCTTGTAGGGGCCAAACTGGATCACTCCTATCTGGTCATGAAGGAGCTGGGAGAAGACAGAAAGTAATATAAGGATTTTGGCTTTACCACCTAAAAACTAATTGTATTTAATGTGTCCATAATTTTTCTGTACTTGTTTACTCATCTGGAAATATAGATGAGAAATTATAGCATCTACTTTTTTTTTGGTCTCAGAAATCAAACTCAGGACCTTGCACTTGCCAGGCAGGTGCTGTGCCACTAAGCTAAATCTCCAGCCCACCTACTTTGTCTGTAATACCTATATTTAGGATAGTGGTCAGCACACAGTGAACACTGAATGTTAGAGGTTGTGAATTCAAGGCCAGCCTGAAGTACATAGCATGTCTCAAAAGAAAAAATAAATAAGTCAGCCATCTCCCTGAAGCCATGGGCTGCACACACTCGAGAGGAAGGGCCAAGGTTACTTGAAGGTTTACCCGCATGGCTGTTTCAAAGGAGCCTGCCAGGATGTGATCAACTGGAAGCTGAGAGTTATTGCACCAGATCTGCCAAGAAACACAAAGTCAAACAAAGAGAAGATCTGCCCTTTCTCTTCCCAGATTATCCTGCTCCACATCTAGAAATAGAAAAGTATCCAGTGGTTTACACATTCATCAAGAGTCAGCCAGATCAGAAAGGCGCTTCCTCACAGGGCTGTGCTTTCTTACGTACTTGAGTTGGGCTTGTTCCCTTGGTGGGAGGCACAAAGAACCCATCTTCAGCCCCGCCAGCTGCCCCAGGGGGTACATCCTAGAGGAAAAATTAAAATCAAGTCATTTCTAAAGCCTTTCAAGCACTTTTTTATTTTATTTTTTTTAAATTTTATTTATTTAATTAATTTATTTATTTTGTGTGTGTGTGTGGCCAGCTCAGCCCACCAGGGGGCGGGGCTGGCTGGCATGTGGTGCTGGGGGATTGAACCGCGGTCCCTGTGCTTTGCTAAGCTTGTTCTAAGTAGGTGCGTTAGACCACTGAGCCATCTCACCAGCCCTCAAGCACTTTTTTAAAAAATATGTATTTGTTTGTTGTAGGGTCTCACTACACAGCCTGGACTTGTGGTGATCCTCCTGCTTTCAGCCCCCCTCCCCAAGCGCTGGGATTACAGGCTTGGGCTACTACGCCTGAATGCTGACTGGCTCAGCCTGCGAGGGGGCGGGCCTGGTGTTGCATGTCATGCCAAGATCAGACTGCAGTCCACGCGCTTGCCTAAGCTTGCCTAAGCAGGAGCTTTGGTGTGCTGAGTTAGCTCACTGGCCCTCAAGCTCTTTGTTTTTTTTTTTGTTTGTTTGTTTTTTTGGCGGAACCGGGGATTGAACTCAGGCCTTTGCGCTTGCCAGGGAAGTGCTTATTCCATTGAGCCATCTCCCTGGCCCCCAAGCACTTTGTTTTGAGGAATCTAAAACATAATCATTTACTTTATTTTCCACTTCTGTTGAGAAAGTACTCCAATAGGAGCCACTTCACCTGTAACAAAAGCTCCAACTCAGATTTAAAACACTTGCTGCCCTTTTATAAGCTGCTGTTGGCACAAGCCTATCTCATTCATCCATCTTTCAAATGGGAGATGAGCATCAGATTAAAGGCACATCCTAGCTTCCTTCCTTTTTGGCTATAACAGGATAAATAGAAGAGGTAAGGCCACTGGATTCTGACCTTCACATTCTTCCTTCTTTCAAGTGAGAGATAAACATTGGGTTAGGAGGAAGGTCTAAATCCCTGTCCCCACAAGACCACAGGACAGATGTAGGGTGGCAATAAGGCTACTGGTTTCTACAAGAAGTGCAGAGAATTTTAAAGGGTAAGAATTCCACATACCAGCTCAGGGGGGAGCTCGAGATCTTCTTCTACATCCCAGCCACCTCCTTCTTCCTGTCCTTTGCCAATAACATCATCCCCCAAACCTTCTGTAGCCTCCACAAACCCATCTGCAAGGAAAATCCAGATCAAAATAGATTTGGGTGGTGGCACGATCGCAGCCAAAGGACAGCAGAGTGTTGAGATCCTAACTGGCTGCACTGTTTGGAAGCCTGCAAAACAGCACCCCCAAACATCCCAGCACAAGGAGTCTATCTCCCCAGAATGGCGTTCCTACCTTCATCCAGCTGCAGTTCTGTGTCCTCTCCCCAGCCCTCAGTGCCAACAGTGTCAATGTCAATGTCAGCAGCCAGTGCTCCTCCCTTCCCTAGCAAGAGGAGCAACAGGCAAGAGTCAGTTATAGTCTGCAAGATGGAGATACAGTCTTCTCTGTAGGCAAACCCGATCCTTTCAACACAGTTGTCCAGGATTTGTCTACTTATTTTCATATATTCTGTATTTCTGTGGTATATATGTTATGCTAACTTGCAAGAGATTTCAGAGAGAATAAAAGGGAGATAACTTCCATTGTGCTACCAAAACCTGGTTCTTAAACCACTTCTAAATTAATGGTCTTCAGGAGCCAGAGATATAGCTCAGTGGCACAGTGCCTGCCTGCTAAGTGCAAGGTCCTGAGTTCAATTCCTGGTTTAAAAAAAACAAAAAAGCAAGGTTACTGATCTCAGGCTGTCAACTTTTAGAACTTCTTCCTGAGATACTACATCACCAATGCTACAGTGTATGCAGGTCACAAGGACATAGGAAGGTAGAGGAGATAAAGAAGAGAGCAGAGCTAGGCAGAAAACGCAGTCAGTTTAGGCTCTCACGAGAAGTGAGCTACAGACATATCTGAGCAAACAGGAGAAAGGAAGAGTAGCAGTGAAGAGGTGAGCGTACCCATTTGCACATACATAACAGAATTAGACGTGTGTGACTCTGTACCTGAAGACTATGTCATTACATAAAATACTAGAACATGACTACATACATGGTGAAACCTATGGAAATACACCAAAATACTTACAAAGGTTATTAGTGGTAATAGGAATACCACCACCACCCACCCCCATGCTTCCACCAATTCCCACTTTTCTTCTACACTTACAAAAAGCTTTTCCTGACTGATACTTGAATGCCCCATAAGGCCTCACACAGAAATATGGACAAATGAAACTAAGTGCTGACGGCACTCTCTAGGACAGCTTCTTACAAAATAAATGACAAAAGTGCTATGGAAGACATGGGCACTGACCTTTGCTGGCAATGGAGCCTTCAAAGAATCCTTTAGACACAGTTAGTAAGGGCCAGTTGGTATCCAGCGGCATGATAGGGGCAGGTGGCTGGAGCAGCTTAGCATTGGGGTCAATGTCTGGGATCTGAGAAGCAGAAGATAAAAAGTTTAAATGCCAATAACTGTCAGGAATCCTCTACAGAAGAGAACGGAGATTCCTTTGAGCTCATTTATTTCTCAGCCTCTCTCTGTAACAAGGTAGTACAGTTTTAAATTGTCCTAAGAGCTGAGTTAATCCTGTAATCAAAGATATTCATAAAAATAAAGACTCACTGTCTCCTTCTCTGGGTCAAATGTCTCCTTTAGGCTCTCAGCTTCTTCATCTAAACCATGAGTAGCAGCTGTTAGATAGGCCAGGGACTCTGTAGAGAAAGCAAGACTTTGTGATGTTGATAAATTTTTAGGGAAATATTATGATGGTAGGCAGACTCTGAGATGAAACTCCCCTCCCACAGTGATCCCTGTCTGCTAGTAGACAAGTACTTCAATAATAACTGCCCCTTAAGTGTGGGTTGGACTTACTACTGCCCTCCAAATGGACAGATAAGGCAGAGGTAATGCTGGGATTTGTTTATAGTTGTACCTTCCACCTCCAGTACACTTAGCTGTATCCGTAGCACTTTTTTTTTTAAATTTTGAAACAGGGTCTTGCTAAGTTACCCAAGTGGAACTCGAATTTGCAATCCTCCTGCCTTGGCCTCCTGAGTGCTTGTAAACCAGCTGCCATGCTGTGAATTGCCTTATTCAGAAGTGAATATGGGAAAAAAATGACATCTTCCAGACAATAGACAACACACAACAGAGAACACAGGCCTGAGAAGTGCCCACCAAGGGGCCGGGGAGATGGCTTAGTAGGATAAGCACTTGCCTGGCAAGCGCAAAGGCCTGAGTTCAATCCCTGATTCTCTAAAAAAAAAAAAAAAAAAAAAAAAAAGAAGTACCCACCAAGGTGACCATGTGTAAAAGCTAAGCATAGTACATCTGTAGTCCTATGAGAGACACTGAGCCAGAGCTGAGCCATGCTTGGAATTCTAAGTCATAAATTCTGTGGTTTAAACTATGGAATGAGGGGCTGGTGAGATAGCTCAGTGGTCTAAAGCACCTGCTTAGGCAAGCTTAGGCAAGCATGCAGGGAGCTCGGTTCGATCCCCAGCACCACATGCCATGCCAGCCCCGCCCCCAGGGTGGGCTGAGCTGACCATAAAAAATAAAAAGAAAGGAAACATTAAAAAAAAAAAAAAAGACAAAACAAAACAAAAAAAACCTATGGAGTGCGTATCCCTCATTACATGCAGGGAACCAGAAACGTTTCAGTTTTTTTGGATTTTGGAGTATTTGGGTAGACTTTACTGGTCAGGTATCCTGAATCTGAAAACCTGAAATCTAAGCTCCAAAATGTTCTAAAGTCTTTTGAGCATCACATTGGTACTCAAGAAGTTTTGGGCCTTGAAGGGCCAGCCAAATAGCTCAGCGGATTAAAGCGCCTGCAAGCAGGCTCAGGGCAAGCAGGGCTTTACTCCCTAGGCCTGCCGTGCTGGCCCCACCCCTGGGAGCACACTGAGCCAGCAATAGAGACTGGGCGTGGTGGCGTGCACCTGTAATCCCAGCTCTGGGAGGCTGTAAACAGGCAAATCACTAGAGTCTGATCTAGTAGTAAGACCCTGAACACCCTGTAGACCCTTCCCTAAGATACAAAACAAAACAAAAAAAGTTGTTTTGGGTCTTGAAGCATTTCAGGTTTTGTTGTTTTTTCTTAAATAATGCAAGCCCTTGCATGGCAATCCAAAAAATATAGAACACTTCATGAATTTGCATATTATCCTTGCACAGAGGCCATGCTAATCTTCTCTGTATCATTCCAAATTTAGTATATGCGCTGCCAAAGCGAGCACAGGTTTTGGGATTTTTGATTAGGAATGTTTAACCTGTACTAAGTTTTAGTGTAATTTCTTATACAGCGATTAATTGCTAATGAATACCGTTACTTATCTTTAAGATCCATCATCAATGTGAATAACACCGTTGGGATGCTGACTCCTCTCTAACACACCCTACAGCTAGCACTTGTAAGTCACACTGCTTCTCCTTTCAAAATATATAACCCAAATCTGACTGCTGGTAGCTCCTCCAGGAGAGCAGCACCTTGGTCATGCCATGTGTCTTAACCTTGTTCCTGTATCTCAAATGCTTCTACAATATTGTTGTTTATTGTTTTCTCAAAATAAAGCACCCTTGGGCTGGTGAGATGGCTCAGTGTCTAAAGTGTCACAATCCTAAAACCTGTGTCTAAAGCACCTACTTAGAACAAGCTTAGCAAAGCACAGGGACCGCAGTTCAATCCCCCAGCACCACATGCCAGCCAGCCCCGCCCCCTGGTGGGCTGAGCTGGCCACACACACACACACACACACACACACACACACACATAAATAAAATTAAAAAAAAATAATGCACCCTTATTTACTCAGATATTACTTATATATGAACAAATAATGAGTGAAATCTCTAGTCTAAAATTCTAATGTAGCCAACCAATTATTTACTAAAGTGTCTCTTGTAAAGTTTTTATATACAGAAGCATTTTATTATATTTTTGGTGTGTATTATTGAACCTAAGGGTATTTCACCACTGAGCTACATCCCCAGACCTTTCAAACATTTTCATTTTGAGACAAGGTCTTGCCAAGTAGCCCAAGCTGGCTTTGAACTTGTTATTCTTATTTTAGTCCTCCAAATAACTAGGATTATAGGTGTATGTTACCATGGTCAGCATGCTCTGGGACTTTTAAAACCTCTTGTCTTCCACACGACTCCTTTTTCCCCATGACTTTTCTTAAGAGCGTTGGCTTGACTTGATATTCTGGCTATAACTCCCATTGGCTTTAAAGAAAATCTAAGCATGGTATGAATGTGTCATTTCTCTTGAAAAATGCACAATAAAGGACAACTCTCCACTGTACATAAATAATGCAATTGGAAAAGAAAATATTTCCTAAGGCCTCCAAAGTGCTACTTACTCTGTCCACAGTTCTTTAGGATCCGCACTCGCTCGGACACATCACCCAGGTACAGGGCATTCTGATAATGGCCACTCATGTCCTTTCTGATCTCAGCTGCACCAAGTCAAGAGACACCAACTTAGGTTTTCTATTTTTTGAGACAGGGTCTTACCATGTAGTTAAGGCTGGCCTTGAACTCACTATGTAGCACAGGCTGGCCTCAAACTTGTAGCAATCCACTGCCTCAGCCTCCTGAGTGCTGGGATTGTAAGTGTGTATCACCATGCCCAGCAGGTTTTCTTTAAGGACTCTTCCCCTTACTGGCCATCCCTCAAAACCCTTCTTCTCAACAGTGACTAGTGGCCTCACCAATCTTCATCATCTTGCGAAGTTTTTCCAGGTTGCCAGTGATAAGGTACAAGAAGGAAAGTTTATCGAAGTTTTTGGTGCGCTGATAGCACATTTCCACAATCTGGTGGTTCCCCTGTAGCAGAGCCACTTCTCCCAGCTTTTCCCAGCAGTTCTTGTCATCTAGTGCTTTAGCAGCTTCCAGAGCAATCTAAAGAAGCCCAGAGATCAGTGTCAACACGATACTATGGTGGACACGCTGTGACTCAAAACGAGGGACACTGGACAAAGCTTGTCTCCAAATAAATTTCCCAGGGAACTCCCTATTCTTTCAATAGCTCCCAGCTTTCATTCTATTTCTGTTGAGAATTCTATTTAGAAACAGGATCTCTTTAAATCCATGAATAGAAGAATCTTATCACATCATTCTCATCTGGAGATATTTCTTGAAAAATTTGTTTTTAAAACAAAATCACCTAGGGCTGGTGAGATGGCTCAGTGGTCTAAAGCACCTACTTAGAACAAGCTTAGCTAAAGCACAGGGACCACGGTTCAATCCCCCAGCACCACAAGCCAGCCAGCCAGCCCCGTTCCCTGGTGGGCTGAGCTGGCCACACACACACACACACACACACACACACACACACACACACACACACACAAATAAATATTTAAAAAAACAAAAAAACAAAATCACCTAGTAGCTGCTGATTCCATAAGGCCAGTTCTTGCTTAGCTACTGTTATTTCCTACCTGTGAGGTTTGAAGATTCACAGGGGTTTTAGGAAAGGTATAAGAAATCATAAAAGAAGGGATTCAGAAATAGAAAAAAAACAATATTCCTATACTCTTTGCTCATCTGAAGATAATGCCTGCGTCCTCTGTACTTCAACATTTAATAAGTATTTCTTCACCCAAGCAAAATCAAGTGTCAAGGAAATGATGCATTTTTTTCAAATTTTACACTGTCTTGCCTTTATCTTGGAAGTTAATGAATTGAGACAAAGAATGACAATGGTGGAAATGCTATTGCAGAAGCAGAGATAGGAAAAAGTAAAAAAAAAAAATAGGGCCAGGGAGATGGCTCAGTGGAATAAGCGCTTCCCTGGCAAGTGCAAGGGCCTGAGTTCAATCCCTGGTTCCGCAAAACAAAACAAAAAGTAAAAAACAAACAGGATTAGGAAGATGGCTCAATCTAACAGCTACAAAAAACCAAAATCCTTATCCTGTCTACAGAACCAACCCTAGAATAAAGCTTTCCCATTGCCACTGTCTCTCATATTTTATAAAATGATCTGGGGCCAATGACCATATTCTTCTCACCTCAATGTTTCCACACTCCAAGGCCAGGCTAAAGCGAGTTTTCTCATCCTTGACGAAATGCAGTGCCACTTCGGGATAGCCCTTCTTCTGGAGGTAAGCAATGATAGACTGGCCTACCAGCTTGGCATTCCTCACCATGTGTAGGACCTAGACAGTGGGGGGTGGACAAGGCAGGAAGCAGAGATTATTACAGAAAGAGAAGTGCTGCCCCTCTCGGTACCTCAGCGTGAGTCCTCATAGCCCACCTCATCATATTTCCTGTTGATCAGGGCCAGCTTGAATTTGAACTCAGTGGGGTCGATGGTGAGCACGCGAGGACGACACTCCCTGTCTAGGCAGTAGACATTGTTGCCCTTCACCCGTGTGACATAGATGGGTAAATCCAGAGTTCGGATGATCCCATGGTCCCTAAGAACAGGAGACAGACAGAACCTTCACAGAGGAGGAAATCTAGCCTGTGGAAGAACTGCACAAGCACATGGCACAGGCTTTTCTCTTCTCATTATCCTCTGCCAAGTGTCAAAACTGGCGTAGATGGGAAGTGATTTATTGATTTTACTTTTTTCTGTTTTGGGGCAGATGATATGGACTTTCTCTATAAGCTATCACTCTATTACTCTAGGGGCTAAGTAACAGATGTGACTACAGAAGTGAGACCTAAAAGTTCAACCCTAAATTCTGATACAGAATTGGTAGGCTACCATGCATAGGTAATTCCTTCATATGGCATAAGTGAAGGTACAAGAAAGGTAAACATAAAGTTATACACAACACACAAAGATATTGAAAAGCAGAAAATATTTTGAACTTAATAACAAAAAATTACAAATTAAAACTTGTTCATATTGTTAATGAACACTTGATAATTTATGGCCCTAGATATATACAAAGTTTAGAAAAAATACTAAAAATTAATGGGTTCTACATTTTTTTTTCTTCTTCTTTTTTGAGACATGGTTTCACAACTCAGGCCCTTGCACTTGCCAGGGAAGCGCTTATTCTACTGAGCCATCTCCCCAGCCAGAGTTCTATATAATATAAGAGACTAAAATTAACAAATATATATATCAAAAATTTTACTGTTCTTTTAAAAGTTAAGCCAAAATACTTAGAAGAAAGCAATAAAGGTCAATAGTAGACATTAAGAGAAAACATATACACACATACACACACATATATGGGGATAAAATATGTGTATAACTCAACATAAGATTGGTACTGTTTCATAGAAATCTGGAATGACCTTTAAATAAGGGTTCATCTAATATATTTTTTATATAGTCCTGCATAACTATCATATTGAGAGCTCTTTATTGTTCATCCAGGAGCATACTGCAACTTCTCTTGCCTTTTTTTTTTTAAATTATTTATTTATTTGTGTGTTTGTGTGTGGCCAGCTCAGCCCACCAGGGGGCGGGGCTGGCTGGCATGTGGTGCTGGGGGATTGAACCGTGGTCCCTGTCCTTTGCTAAGCTTGTTCTAAGTAGGTGCTTCAGCCCTTCTCTTGCCTTTTGAATTATGCTCTTTGTTATTTCCTATATGCTACTTCTGGAGATATTAAAATATTTCAAGTTTGTATAACTAGAAAATCTTACTTTTAGTTTTCAAAGGTATGTTTGCTAAGTATAAAATTCAAAGAGGACAGATCTTTACTTTCAGTCCTTTAATTAATCTAGTTTTTTACACACTTTAAATGTCTGCAAAAGGTTCACTTTTCTTGGAAATGTGGTGTTGTAAGTTGAACTAAATTCAGAAATTTTAAATTTTTAAATAGTTATTTCCTACTCCTTTCTACTTTGAGAATTCTAATTATATGAATGTAAGTTTCTTGGTTTTGACACACTGAACTATTATGACTGATCTGTAAATTCTTTCTTCATTTTTATTTTGGACAGTTTTTATTGTCATATTCAGTTATGTTTGTAAATAATTCATTTTCAATTTGCAATCTATTAAAAATTTTTAAAAATATAACAAAATGAATAAAATAAAATAAAATTAAAGCAAAAAAAAAGAGAAAACAAAAATATTGCAAGCTCAGTAATAGTGAAAATTGGATAAAGCTGATAAGCATCTTATGATAGTAATTAAGGAAAAAGAGAAAAAGATATAGAAATGAAAAAGGCCATCACTACAGATCCTGCAGAATAAAGATGTTAACTTCTAAGAATCATCAAACTTAGCTGGGCATAGTATCATGTCTATAGTCCCGGCTATTCAAGATCAGAAGTAAGAGGATCACAAAATTAAGCCCAACCTGGGGGAAACTTCTATCTCCACATACATAAAAAGAAGAGCTGGCCAAATAGCTCAGCAGATTAAAGCGCCTGCAAGCAGGTGCAGGGGTCAGGGGTTCCGGGCCTGCTGTGCTGATGCCAGGCCCCGCCCCTGGAGCAGGCTGAGATGACTACTGAGACTGGGTGTGGTGGCACATGCCTGTAATCCCAGCACTTGAGAGGCTGTAAACAGGCAGATCACTATGAGTCCGACCTAGTAGTGAGACCCTGAACACCCTGTGGATCCTTCCCTAAAATACAAAAAAAAGGAAAAAAAACCAAGAATTAAAAAAACCTTCCAGTCCTATTAACTATTAAAATAAGCCGTTTATGAGAAAAAAATAAAATAAAATAAGCTGAGCCAGAGAAAGAATATTATCTGAAAAGAAAATCCCACACCAAGATCACTTCACTGGCAAATTCTAGTCAATATTCAAGGAAGAAGTATGACTTAAGGAAGAATTAGTTCTAACCTTATACAAGCTCATTAAGGGAGCAAAAAAAGATAAACGTATTTATGGCAATTCCAGGTCAATCTCACTTATGAACACAAATAAGGAAATCTTAAGCCAAATACCAGTCACTTACAACTACAGATATTTGCAAAGGGTAAAATACGATCAAGTTGAATTTCTATCAGGAGCACAATGCAGAGTGAACATTAGAAAAAATTCAGCTGAGTTCACTACAATAGTCAGTGAAAGGAGAAAAATTAAGTGATTCCTTTAATTCATGAATAAAAAGTACCTAATAATATTCAAAATTCATTCAAAATAAACATTATTGGCAAAGCCTGGATGCAGTAGTACACAATTATAATGTCAGCTACAGGGCAGGTGAGGCAAGAGGATCACATGTTCATGGCCAGCCTGGGCAACTGAGCAAAACTGTCTCAATAAAATTTTTTAAAAAAGAAAAAGGGCTTGAGAGGTAGCTCAGTTTTCCATGGGATCAGTCCACAGTATTGCTAAAAATAAAATGAAAACAAAACCCCCAAAAGAGAATCTTTCCTGGGGGGGTAGATAGGAGATAGGGTTTCACTATATAGTACAGGCTGGCCTTGAACTCACTATGTAGGCCACATTAGCCTTGAACTTTCAGCAATCCTCCTGCCTCAGCCTCCTTAACATTGGGGTTATAGGTGTGTGCTACCATACCAGGCTCAAAAAGGTATTTCAACAATTTGAAATAATAACTAAAAATTCCTTACTATACATCTATAAAAAACTTCAATAAGCTCACATAATGCCACTATGGTAAGAGTCCACCCTTAGGAAAATACATCAAGTGTAAGTACTCAAAAAAAGAAACAGGGCCAGGGATATAGCTCAGCACCAAGTGCCTGCCTGGTAATCACAAGGTCCTGGGTTTTAATTCTGGTATCCAACCCCCTCCCAAAAAAAAAAATCAAAGGAAGAAACAAAACTGCAACTACCCACAGGTGCTATGATTATTTGTAAAGAAAATACAAGTAAATTACTAAAATTAGTAAGACTGCAGCAAGGTCTTTGAAATAAAATTGACGAAAAACCTATCTGCATTTCTAAATATCAGAAACATTAGAAAATTAAATGGATTATAAACAGCATTAAAAATTACTACGTGCTTAACAAATCTACCAAAGAAATACAAGATCTGTACAGAAAAAGAAAACTATGCAACTTTAGATTCAGAAGACATGAATAAATGAAGACCTGCTATACTATGTCACAGATCAGGAAATTCAATACTGTAAGGACAGCAGCTATCTGCAACTGTGCATACTGATTCAATGCAGTTCCAAGTGAAATCATGACAGGTAAAGCGTCTGCAAGCAGGCACAGAGGTCTGGGGTTCAATCCCTTGGCCTGCTGTGCTGGCTGTGCTGGCCCCGCCCCTGCTGAGATGGCAACTGGGACTGGGCATGGTGGTGCACACCTGTAATCCCAGCTCTTGGGAGGCTGTAAACAGGTGGATCACTATGAGTCTGATCTAGTAGTGAGACCCTGAACACTCTGTAGACCCTTCCCTAAAATACAAAAATAAAATAAAATAGGGCCAGGGAGATGGCTCAGTAAAATAAGTGTTGCCTGGCAAGTGCAAGGGCCTGAGTCAATCCCCAGTTCCACCAGAAAAAAAAAAAAAAATCAAAAATCATGACAGGTATTTTTGGTCTGTTTCATTTTGGGTAGAATTTCATCAGCTAATTAAAAACAAAGCAAATGAGAATGCAAAAGTTATTTGAAAACTGCCTAATAACTTTTCAAAAAGAAATAAAATGGAAAAGATTAAAGACTTGTTTTATTAGATGTAAAGATTAATCACAGAGCTACAACATTTAATTAAGTAGTATAGAATAAGACCAGGGAGGGGCTGGAGAGATGGCTCAGTGGTCTAAAGCACCTACTTGAAACAAGCTTGGCAAAGCACAGGGACCGTGGTTCGATCCCCAGCACCACATGCCAGCCAGCCCCGCCCCCTGGTGGGCTGAGCTGGCCACATACACACACAATAAATAAATGTAATAAATAAAAATAAATAAATATTAAAAAAAAAAAAAGAATTAGACCAGGGATAGATAATAGAAAATGGATCCTTGCATTTTTGAAAACATAATTTATGTAACAATGACATTCCAGAACTACTGGAAAATAGTGGTATTTTGTTTTTTTAATAGTGGTATTTTCAATAAATGATGCTTTACAACTCAGTGTTCTTATGAAGAAGGCACGACTGACTTTCTTGTATCTCACATCACACACAGAAACCAACTTTAAATAGAGTAAAAAACTATACATAAAAGCCAACACTATAAAGTTTTTTATATTTGGTACAGGGTCTTACTATGCAGCTCAGACACATAGTGATCCTCCTGTTTTTAGCCTCCCCAGTGCTGGGATTACAGGCACGCAGCACCACACCCAGTTTGGTGGGGCTCAGTACGACCAGGGGTGTGGCTGGTGCAGCAAATGGTGCTGGGGATTAAACCATGTCCCTGCGCTTGCTAAGCAGGCACTTAGTCTGCTGAGCTATCTCACCAGCCCAACACTATAAAGTTTTAATAAGAGAATACAGAGGCATGCCTTTATGATTTTGGAGTTCAATAACTTTTTCTTTTCCTTTCCTTATTTATTTTTATTTTTATTTTTTTGGCAGAATTGGGAATTAAACTCAGGCCCTTGCTCTTGCCAGTTAAGCGCTTATTCTACTGAGCTATCTCCCCCGCCCTTCTTTTTTTTTTTAAAGGCATGGTCTTGCTGTGTAACCCAGGCTGGCCTTTATCTCAAGAACCTCCTCCCTCAGCCTTCCAAGTACTAGAATTACAGGTATGCACCATCATTCCAAGTTTAAGATTTTTGGGGGCTGGGGAGATGGCTCAGTGGAATAAGCGCTTCCCTGGCAAATGCAAGGACCTGAGTTCAATTCCTGGTTCCGCCAAAAAAAAAAAAAAGATTTTTTATTTTATTTATTTTTTTGCGCTACCAGGGATGAACTCAGGATCTTGTTAATATTTTTTAAACAGGACACAAAACAAAATCTCCATAAAAGAAAAAATTCATGAATTTAACTGATTAAAATTAAGAATTTCTGTTGCTTAGGGAGGAACAAAAAGAGAATGAAACAAGTTGCTATAGGGCAGAGGATTTTAACATTTGTAATGTATATCCCTTAGAATCACTCAACTATTCCTTAGTGAAAACTGACAATGGCATAATCACATAGTGAAATATTATGAGATAAAATAAACATATTAGAACCATAAGGATGACTCTTAAAAACAAAATATAGGACAAGATATAAAACAATATAGCCAATATGATTTTATTTATATGCAGTTCAAAACCAGACAAAACTAAATACTAAGACACAAATGAGGGGCTGGCGAGACGGCTCAGTG